TCTGACTTACGTAATATTGGATGTGATGAAATGCAATCCCGAATATACAAAATGTGTAAGTAAATTATTACGAATTTTCCATATAACTACTGGACTAGAAATACTGCGAATATAAAGTTATTGTGTGCTTTTTCTGGATTTTTGTAAAATTAAGCAGATTTTCATGAATGGTGGAGATTTTGACCCGATGGTAGTTGATTGATTGACCCCCCTCAATGCGAAACCAACAACATTAAAAAAGGGCTACGATTAAAATTGTATAGTAATATTGAAATAATGACGTCACAACATCTGATGACGCCGCATTTTGTTTATATAAGCAGCTAAATATGCGCGCAATCTGACAGGTACATGTACATTTTGAATGAAGGAGATCTGCATTTCCTTTTCACAGGACCTGTTTTCTTATAGACCCATTATTTTCAGGCTTTCCGTAAAATATCAAGTAAAATAAAAGTTATACTGTAAACACTGTAGACTTTCAGTATTGCAACATGTCAACAAAGATTCTATAAAATATAAACCTAGGTTCATTAGCGCCATTGGCATGTGGACAAGGACAAGCTGATGCCTGTAAGCGCCCTAGATATGTGGACAAGGACAAACTGTGATGCCTATTAGCGGCGTAGTTATGTAGACAGCGACAAACTGTGTGCCTGTTAGCGCCGTAGTTATGTGGACAAAGACAAAATGTGATGCCTATTAGCGGCGTAGTTATGTAGACGGCGACAAACTGTGATGCCTATTAGCGGCGTATATACGTAGTTATGTAGACAGCGACAAACTGTCATGCCTATTAGCGCCGTAGTTACGTAGAAGGCGACAAAATGTGATGCCTCTTAGCGGCGTAGTTATGTAGACGCGGACAAACTGTGATGCCTATTAGCTGCGTAGTTATGTAGACGGCGACAACCTGTGATGCCTATTAGCGGCGTATATACGTAGTTATGTAGACAGCGACAAACTGTGTGCCTGTTAGCTCCGTAGTTATGTGGACAAAGACAAAATGTGTTGCCTATTAGCGGCGTAGTTATGCAGACGGCGACAAACTGTGATGCCGATTAGCGGCGTAGTTATGTAGACAAGGACAAACTGTGATGCCTATTAGCTGCGTAGTTATGTAGACGGCGACAACCTGTGATGCCTATTAGCGGCGTAGTTATGTAGACAGCGACAAACTTTGTGCCTGTTAGCGCCGTAGTTATGTGGACAAAGACCTAATGTGATGCCTATTAGCGGCGTAGTTATGTAGACGGCGACAAACTGTGATGCCTATTAGCGGCGTAGTTATGTAGACAGCGACAAACTGTCATGCCTATTAGCGCCGTAGTTATGTAGACGGCGACAAAATGTGATGCCTGTTAGCGGCGTAGTTATGTGGACAGCAACAAACTGCGATGCCTATTAGCGCCGTAGTTATGTGGACAAAGCAAACTGTGATGCCTTTCAGCGCCTTAGTCATGTGGACAAAGATAAACTGTGGTCCCTATTAGCGCTGTGCTCTAATGGACAAAGACACACACTGTAATCCTTGTCAGCGTCGTAGTCAAATGTACAAAGACACAAACCGGTGTAGTAGGGATTCCGCTTCCGCCTGCTACATTCACTAATTGGATATTGCGGTAATCGTGCTGTCGATACAACGTTAAACACGTGGTTTGGTTATAACGCTTTCTTTATATCTGTCGATATGACATTTGACGTCCCACATTATGGGCGGATTGGTCGAGTGGTTTACCACTCCGATTTTCAACGCAGGCGGCCGGGGCTCGATCCCCGAAGTCGTCGTACTATACACATGGATATTCAAAGAAAGTGTTGTTTTCCAGCCCACACAACTCCAATAACCCAGGTGGAGTATAAATTGGTCAGGGTGGATGTTACGGTATCTGTGATGTAGCATTCAAGTGAGGTGGCACTATAAATGATGCCGTAGGAAGCACGGTCCCACTACAAACAGAACACCTTACATCTCCAGCACACTAACAGGCATGCACAAATAGGAAGATACTAGCCAGGTGGCATATGACTAGTAGTTTGCGCCTGATAAGGCAGCTCCTGCGAATTCCTCAAAATTGTATCGACTAACGTATATGCTTATTGTATTAATTGTATATCTATGTACTGTAAAGCGCTTTAGAGTGGCTTATGTAAGTTAGACAGGGCGCTATATCAAATGTTGTTTAATGTTGTATATTATATCAGACATACATTTTAACTGAGAAAGCAGCTGGATTCGTGCTTCATGAGCTGTTTAAACTAAGACAGTTTAAATAGCACTAATATTTGAAAATACCACTTATTTCCTGTGTAACTATAGCTATATCCATTCACAATAACAGTAAGACTACCCCGTTCTATTGGAAAACCCTCAATGATGTCATAATGTAAGTTTTCCTAGAGAGTATGCGTACGTTTAACTTTGAATATAAGCATGGTCACACACGTCAGGTCAGCCCTTCCAGTTGGTCGCACTGATAGGTGTGCCTGGCATCACTGAGTCTTCTGGTTACAATTGAAATCTTATACAGACATATTGACTGTTTTAAAATATTTCTATATCAGAAAAACAGGTTTACAGTTACAATGAAAATTTTAGGGGACAGGTACCCCCAAGTCACACGGGAAGAAGGCCCTCAGAGGAAAAGGACAGTTGGCCCTTAAAGAAACGCGACAGGAACCCTAATACACAAGGGACAAACGGCCCTTACAGGACAAAGGACAGTTGGCCCTTCAAGGCCGCAACAGGAGACCCCAATACACAAGGAACAAATGGACGTTAGAGGAAAAGGACAGATGACCCTTAAAGGCACGAGACAGGAGGCCCTTAGTGGCAAGAACATGAGGCCCTAACTGACACGTGACGAGCAATGAACAGACGGTCGTAAGAGGCAAGGACAAGGTGAAAATCGAAATAGGTTTAAACTATACTGTTGAAGCAGAAGGGGCGGTACACAAAAGCCCATAAGTTAATCGATTAAAAAAAATAGAATTGTTTTAATTCTATTACGTTGTAATGTGTTTTCGTACCGTTTCCGTCTAAAGCGAACTCAATCAGAAAATTAAGTTTTCAATCGTCCGTCATAACGGCGTGTGCTCGATTGTCTTGTTGGCGTGGCGGGATATTTGAATAATTACCCACAATGTCTGACTGTTTTGGTTAGAAACGGGACAATCCTTGTTCGGAAGATAGAGTAGGTTGTAGCGCCATTCACTGTGTAACGGGAGCATGCAGAGCCAATGCTATCTTTAATTGCGTTCATAAGGCTGAAAGTGTTTTCAGTTTTTCTCAGTCTGAAACTGAATTAAATCATACCTTAACCATGCTTTCCTGACATACCATGAAGGTTTCTGATGAATAGAGGTTTCACAGCTTGTGACGGAGGAAAATTATCATATATTTTTGACTCTCGTACATTTGAAATAATTTTCAAACTGTTAATTGTCCAACTAGATATGAGTGACAAGCTCTGGTAATAACCTGTTGCGTTAGATTTTACATAGAATCACTTTAAATTATTGGGTTGGGCACCTTGCCCACATCTGGTTTTGTTCACAACACTTAACTCTACTTGTAAATGAAAAATGATTTATTTCATTAAGCGCGCTTTTGCTAAATTTGTAAACTTCCGGTTGGCATTTATATTGACTATGAATAACAACTGAAAAAAAGTTCAATAGTTATTTTTATCACTTTTGTGTTTGTTGAATGCTCAAAAAGAAAATTGTTTGAAGCATTTACTTCAAATTAGTTTAAACTTTATTTTATTATCGGTATAATATTCCAGAAATACAAACATGATATACATTTAGGATTCGAAAACAAGTACAAAGTACTAGTGTTAATCCGTCTTTAATTAGGTCAGTTTTATCTAACGTTATCATTATGACGTCATTATAATTATGATGTCAGCATGCAGGTCACGACATTCGTCAGTATATTGATTATTAAATCAAATATAGGAAGTGGAGGAAGTTTGGATGAATCGGAAGGCTTTTCAATGCATTCCAAACATAAAATCTTCTTACAGAAAAAAGTAAAACTCTAAAAAAAAGAAGAAGAAAAAAATCTTCTGCGCATCGGATTCATCTGTTAACGTATGTTATCTACATTAGATGTCGTACTGAGCCTGGCACTAAAGTCTCTGAAAACTAATGGTTATACACATGAAACACACAGATTATGTACGTAACGTCAGAAAAAGCCATATTTTCAATAATGACTTTCACACATGGTTATGTGTAGTACGAGGTTTTTTTTGAGCAGGTTCTCCAAACTTTTGACGATAGCACATACCAACTTCGTCTTCAACTTCTGTGATATTCATTGCCCCAGTAAAGTAAGGCTAACATTTATATAAATCAAACACACGTATATATAAAAAATATATATATATAATATATATACGTTCTTTGGTGATGAAAAATTCTACATGTATTGAAAACTCATCGCGCCTCTTAATGTTGAGTCGATCAATGGAGCTTTGTTATGCTACACTCCCTACATTATTTCTAATATCTTCAGCACTGACTCAAAATGGTAAACAAAGTATTTGTTGAAATTCATAATATCGAGACTGTTAAGAAATAAATAGATTATCCAATAAAAAAACACCATTCTGTTTTAATATGTGTAAGACGGTTGATATTCCACCGGCATTGTGTAAACATACATATAAATGAGGAACATTACACATTACGCTTTCAAATAATTAATGCAAACATTCATTTACCATAAAGTATATCTGCTGGAAAATTCTTTCACTAAATCCAAATATTTTATAACCGTATAAGTTTTGATTTTAATTACCTGCTCTTCTAGTTTCTCATTCCGGAAATATCGACTCTTCATTTCGAAAATGTTTTCTATTACGTCAGACATGTGAAATGATAGAGAAGCTACCAAGAACTTGTTGACTGGAACGTAACACGCACTATCACATACTTAACACAGAATACAATCAGATTAGGTTGTGTGTCCATTACACACGTGGACTTACCTCGGTATGACGGTAAGGGGATACCTCGGCTGTCCAGTAGCAGCGGTCAGATGTCCACTGAAGACAGAAAATACAGCCAAATTCAAGTTATGTTCCAAGTCACAATTCGTTGACGCAATTTCCCTATTGCGACGCTAATATCGGCACAAAAAAATCTGTTTGTTGGTTATCTCGAATCCTCAGACGAACAACACATTTGTAACTTTATACGGTGAATTTTATACAAGAATGTCTGTTGAAGACTGAAAATTGCTTTACAACATTTCCGACTTATTTACGGAAACATGTTAAGTATCCTAAGGAGACTCCACCTTCTCGTCTTGTCGACTCCCACCCGGCTAATTCATTTCCCATATGGAGCTGAAACACCGACAGGCTGGTAACGATCATCCCGGAGTTACAACACTTCGCTAGAGTTATATTGATATTAACTTATAAAGGAGAAATGTTAAATTAGCACGCTAGTTAGCATGAAGGACTCAGTTCCAACAGTGAGATAATTACTGGGAAATTTGTAATTTCGTTATCGAGTAGAAATGATGCGAATGAAAAACCAAAAGACGGAGTTATCTCGAATTGTCTGCAATGTTCAGACGTATGTGAACAAAACGTAATATATTTATGACACATATGAAATCGTGTTCTAGATTTGGCCTTTCCACTCGGACATTGGTCAAGCTAGAATGCTCGTGTTAATAGACAGTATTCCAGTAGGGAATCTCGTCACGCGCACTTAACCTGATACAATACGTCCGAAAAATCCCAAAGTTGTGTTGACACGTGCTGATGCGCGTCCAACCGTCACCGTCTCACTGTCCGTGAATTGACGTGCGTAGAATGAAGCTCACCTAACGTTATTGGCCCAGGAGAGTTTAGAGACCCGGAGGACATGGAAAGCTAACGGCGACACAATTTGAATATCGACGTCGATTCTGTCATCACTGTGATCGTACTGTGACTGAGATGTAGGCCGTACCATTGAAGCTCATCGATCTACTCTACAAATTACTGTACCAGAACATCGAGACCTCATCACAGGGCGAGACTCTTCTCTACTACTGTCGGGTGGACAGCCGGACAGACAGCGGGTGGAGAATATGTCTGGCCAGCGTCAGCTACATTGCTACATTTCTTTTGTAACGAAAACAATGTACTATATGTATTAAAAGTAGGACTGCGAAAGTAGTGAGACTTACAAGCGAGAAAGAAACTGTAGAGACGAGAGTAAAGAAGCGACGAAAAAAAAGATATTACATTAATTTGGAGAGATGGCCAAATGCTGAGAAAGTTGTATGTTATACAATAGTTTAATTATTATAATAATAACAAATCACCATGTAGCAGTAATCCAAAGAAACTGCTGAAATGAAGTCTGTGTCAAATAAAAGATCCGTTAAAACGGTTTTTGTCAATGTTCCATATGTTCCCTGTCGTAAGCCCAATGTTCTATTAGGACATATGAGACGATATTTCCTATTTAGTTCAGTGAGGTCCGTTACAACTAAAGCAATATGCCGGCACCATCACAGATACCTGAACACATTTTTTTTTACTATGATGTCATTGGCTCTATGTGTAGCACCATGACCGCATATTCAGTCATTTATATGTAACACCATACCTTCCTACCTCGATAGGACCAATGAATAACACCATGATTTGATAAATAGTTTGACACCATGACGTCACACTCAGAATGACAATAAAACACCGTGACGTCACACTTAGAATGACACTATGTATAACAAAATGACGTAACACGAAAGCTGCCACCATACAATATGACGGTATACTCAGACCGACACCAAGATTAGCATCAAAAAGAACGATGAGAAAAAAAACAGGCGTTCCGGAAGGGGAAGCGTCTTCTGATTCATCGACGATATCTGCCATGTAGATATAGGTTATTCTAATAAATGTCACGTCCTCACATAAATAACTCGTGTAGTGATAAGAAAACCAAAAGCCACACCGATGAGCATATTAATTCAACATCGACCTTACACACAAACAATAGAAACAATAAATTTACAAACCAGATCATGTTTGCGACCATAAAATTTGTCCATATCCTTACCTGTGATGTAAGTTTGACCGTAAAGACTAAACGTAATATAAACTGTCATCGGAAATCGTACAATGATTGACATGTTGAATTAACATTGTACCGTTGATGTAAACTTTTACTCGTCGAGACACGCTTTCGTATTTTTATTTTATTCCTCAATGATGGAGTATGAAAATATCAGGCGAATGTTAAAAAAGGTATTTTATCGGGGATGAATGCCTACTTCTTGATTCCAAACAATTAGTTATGAAATCATTTCCATTTCAACTAATTCGGCCGGAAATATTATTTGTTCGCAAAAACAGAAGGTTTACAACACCTGGTTTATTGTTTTGTCACTATGTTTTTTTTATCGTTATTTTGTTAATCTCCAAAACATTTATTAATAAATCGTTGTGTTTTGTTTCCCAATACATGAAGTGACTGATGTGTTCCTTACAGACGTACAGTGATAGTGTTTACTGGTGTAGATAGACCCAATCCAGTATATAGATACGTATGTCAATTAAAATGTTGAAGTATCTAATATAGTCAAAGGGATTATCCATAGTATGTAACATTGTCTTACAGAATCAACCAACTCCAAGACGTGGTGTTTCCATTTTTAATTCCGCCTTCGACTCATTTTACAATTATAATTCCAGTGCCGGACAACTTCTCCGGAATCAAGTAAAAACTAATAAAACCAAAAAAGAAAAGGATTTAATATCCGGAATTGGGTTATTTACCCTTAAACCGTAAAAGAAGATATATCACAGACCTGTATATATATATACATATCATTGTATACCAGAAGTCAATGTATTCATCTACGATCGATCAGTGTATATTATAACAGACATGTACACAACCCTTCCCTACTGTATATAGTGATTTTACTTTCTTAACAAACTCAACCTCCCTGCGAGACTTCGATTTTCTTTTCCTTGACATGAGGACAGGAATGTGTATAGGTTTCCGGTGTGAGGTATCTCACGTGCATCATACGTAACTGTGATGTGTGGAAGATATCGGAAAGGTCTTCTTTACAAATCTATTTGTTACATATGACGCATAATAGTTTTTTCATTTAAAAAACAGACATAAAATATAAACAAAAACACAGTACTCTGTACTGTAAGTACGACGCTGACCAAAGGTCTATTGTTTTATTTAAGTGTCTCCTTCCTGTTCCGTCGAGGAATAACTTACTTATAGCATAACATAAGTATTAAATAAACCAAATCTAGCACACTACGTAACTGAGGTTGATAAAACGCTCCCGTTGTCAGTATCATATACAAGCTCCCCTCTCTTATAAACCGTCAACTATACATATTATAACTCAAGAAGAAAGATAAAAAAGAAAACGCGTGAAAAATCAAGACAATTACATGTATTCTGTCTCTAAATCGAGATAGGTTAAAAACGTTTTTTTTTTGAAATGTCATGACAGGTTAACTCATTCACCCCTGAAGACAAATTTGAAATCTTCCAATGCAAAGGTTTGAGTAGTCCATTATAACATTTCAGGGGTGAATGAGCTAACAAATCCTATTTTCACCATGTGGTGTATCAAACAATCACGAATATCTGTTGTTGGTGCCGCAGCACGCGAGCCGGAGTCTTTACCCCTACACCCGGTTTGTATGTCTGTGTTATCTCCCCTTACCTAAATGTCACGATTAACCTGTAATGGGAATTTTGCCTTTCTATATGTCACGATTTATTCATTATAAATTGTTGAAAAATTAAACGAATAAGTTTATTCTTTTAAGTTTAATGTGATAATTCCCGAAATATATGTATATCTTACTTATTACTTCCTAAAATATTGGTTAACCTAATTTGGAAATAGTATATACACGACAAGTTATTAAGCTTTTATAATTATTACAAATTAGCCATGGAAAAAAATACTTGAAAGATCTTAACGTAATGGAAATATACTGAAATATTTAGGATCGACATTCATTTTGACGGCGTATACGGTAGTATGAACGCAGTTGGCAACGAACATACTCTGTGGTACGCAATACATTTTGATAACTAAATATTAAAAACTTTGAATCCTCTGACATTTGTAAGAAAGGGCTTGGCTATGAAAACCCCACATAAACAACATCCCTCCGTATGGTGTATGCAAACAAATAGAACGGCCCTTACTACGGTGTACATTCGACTATTTCTGTACCCAAACCTTCATAGCTTCATTTAACTTACTGAGTCATTAAACATTCCAATAAACTTAATTATTTTTAAAACGGCTGAAATGTGAAATTATTCTTTTTTTTTTGTCGTCGTTTACCAACCTTTCATAAATACGGTTATTTTCATTGCTACATTTTAGAATTAATCAAAGTTTTAACAACCGCTGTCGGGGCTATAAATAGCTTTATCTCTACACCCATTAAGGAGTTTTCCATATATTGACATGCTACACATGGAAAAAATCTTCACGAATGCAGTTTATATTTAATTCATTGATAACATTGAAGTACACAGTATATCTGAGAGTATGCAAGTATCTTACTATTTCATAACTCACGCGTGGTGTGGTGTTTGAACACGATATGTGTAAGAGTGCAACTTGTATACGATATTGATTAATTTAAAGGTTTCATTTAGGTGTTTCATATCTGCAGATCTTAACTCATGAAAAAAAACCATGTTCATATCAAGTTAAGGGGAAAATTTCAAGTTTGAAACCGTGTAAACCGTGTAAAAAGCCTATATTTTGATCTCTTTCATGAGAGTAAAACTAATAATCCAGTGGCACTCTTGTGTACTGAAAATGTGCTTTTTTTGCGGACTAAACATTTTGGCGTGTTATGGTATCTTTAATGGTAAGCGTTTCGATAAATTGGCGCACTCCCACTATATAAAATAGGAAACTCCACTTAGCTCAGTCTTCATTTAGCGCAATAGTTGAAGCGCGCGAAAACGCCTAAATTAAAATACCGCTAAAATATGTATATCTGCAATAAGTAAATGGATTGTATATTACTAATAATAATAATATACAACATTTGATATAGCGCCCTATCTAGCTAACATAAGCCACGCTAAAGCGCTTTACAGTACATAGATATACAATTAATACAATTAGCAGATACATTAATCAATACAATTTTGAGGAATTCGCAGGAGCTGCCTTATCAGGCGCTAACTACTAGTCCTATGCCACCTTGCTCATATCTCCCTACGTGTGTATGACTGCGTGTGTACTGGAGATGTAATGTGTTCTGTTTTGTATAGTGAGACCGTGTTTCCACCGGCAACATTAATGAACCACTCAATAACTAAAATGTATATACACTTGACTAATGTTCTATATTATTAGCATACTTTGATTAAGTACAATAATTACTGTATTACGGTACATGCACTCAAGTCTTAGTGTCTCCTTTACCTCATTTCATTATTATTCGCTGTCACGTCAGGTTGAAACAATGAACGCAATTGCAATTGTGATATTGTTTTAAAGACAAAGTCAATAATTTCAAATGATATTTATCATCAACGAAAAAGGGAAAAAAAGAGAAGAATTCTGTTTGAAATACGTTTTTAACGCGGTTTATATAAGTTTGTATATATATATTAGTAAAAATGAAGAAGTTTTTTGCAATTTTTCGGTAAAGTACAGACATGCATTACTTTTTTCATTGGCAACTGCAGTAATGAGACCATTTTTTACAAGT